TGATTTAAGGTTACGGATAGGGTTAGGGTTAGGATTATGATTTAAGGTTACGGATAGGGTTAGGGTTAGGATTATGATTTAAGGTTAGTGTTAGGGTTATGAGTTAAGGTTAGGGTTATGAGTTAAGGTTAGGGTTAGGGTTATGATTTAGTGTTAGGGTTATGATTTAGCGTTAGGGTTAGGGTTATGATGTAGGGTTAGGGTTATTATTTAAGGTTAGGGTTAGCATTAGTGTTAGGATTATGATTTTGGGTTAGGATTGTGATTTAGCTTTTTGATTTAGGGTTAGGATTATTATTTAGGGTTAGTGTTATAATTTAGGGTTATGGTTAGGGTTATGATTTACGGTTAGGGTTATGATTTAAGGTTTGGGTTAGGTTTATGACAGTGTTAGGATTATGATTTAGGGTTTGGGTTATGATTAGGGTTAGCTTCAGGGTTATGTTTTAGGGTTATGGTTATGATTTAGGGTTTGGGTTATTATTTAGGTTTAAGGTTATAATTTAGGGTTAGGGTTAGGGTTATTAGGGTTAGGGTTTGGGCTGTGGTAGGCAAACTCATTAGTCAACAGAGCCAAATATCAACAGTACTTCTTCAAAATAGACTCGCCCAGGCAGAAAACCTACTTCTGTGCATGGGCCACGAAGTTCCAATTGCTCTGTAGGTGCATGCCCACACGTGGTATTTTGCGGAAGAGTCACACTCAAGGGGCCAAAGAGCCGCATGTGGCTTGTGAGCCACTGTTTGCTGACCACTGGGTTAGGGTTATGATTTAAGGTTAGGGTTTGGGTTAGAGTTATGATTTAAGGTTAGGGTTATGATTTAGGGTCAGGGTTAATGGCAGGGTTATGATATAGGTTCAGGTTAGTGTTATGATTTAAGGTTATTTTTAGGGTTGGCATTAGGGTTATGATTTGATTTGGGGTTAGGTTTAGGATTTTGATTTAGGGTTAGGGTTAGTGTTATGATTTAGCGTTAGGATTTAGGGTTAGGGTTAGGTTTCAGGTGAGGTAGGTTAGGTTTAGGATTAGGGTTTGTGTGAGGATTTTGGGAATGTCTTGCACTGAGGGGTGTGTGTGTGTGTGTGTGTGTGTGTGTGTTTCACAAGTTCTCCTTTTTTCACATGCCTTCTTCATTTTTCATTCGCAGTTTGATTTTCCACCGGAGGGTTTTCCTGGCAATACTGGCTGGACCAAGCAAAAAAGAGAGAGAGAGAGAGAGAGAGAGGAGAGAGAAACTCCAGGGTCCCAGTGGCAGTCTGTGGAGTGAAGAGGCCCAGGTGTCACGGCGAGGCTCCAGGCCCACGGGCGACAGACACCGTGCGTGTGTCCAGGACTCCCATCTCCTCCCTCCTGACCAAATCCCGCTCAGGATGTGCAATCTCCCTGCCCTTCTGACACCCCCTGTCCCCTCTCTAAGGATTGCTTCCTGCCTCTGTCTGGCCTTCCTCCCTCGCCCATCGCCTATGATCCCCTGAGCCCAGGGCCTGTCCCTTCCCCGATGGAGCTCATTGTCCACATGTCTCCTGTCATTCTGGTTGTTAACCCCTGTGGGTCCCTAGTGCAGTGGGTGCTGGCACCCCGTCTCGCACATCCTGGCCTCCCTACACAGTGCCCATAGAGTGCTATTCTTCTCTAAGCTAGAAATAAATGTTGGCTGAAATAAATGACTTCCCAGGATGCAGTAACTTGAAGATTTGCCCCTGCAAGCCCTATGCCTCAGGGAAAATATCAGCAACAAAGACCCTCACATATATGCACCTCCCTCCCCCGAAACCTTCCTCAGTAACCAGGAAGTCCTGTTGATGGATAAATCCCACAGGGCCTCGCAGGCCATCAGATATTCCGTTCATTTGCCATCATTTGTCACAGACTCCGAAGCTGGAACCGCCCCGTAGACATTTGGGTTTGGGGGCTCCTGCAGGAGCGGTTTCCACGTGACACTTTCACGCGATCCGTCCTGACTCCAGATCTTTGCACAAAGCTCCCGGGGCCTCGCGGGGAGCTCTGGGCCAGCGCGAAGGCTGGAGGCCAGACGCCCCGAGTCTGCACGTTTTATTTCCTGGTACATGTGCTTAATCCGTCGGCAAACTGTTCACTGGCTCGCACTGCGGCGGCTCTCCCCGGGAACACGAAGGCATGTGTATTCAACGGTGGAGAATAAACACACGATTTTATTACAAAGTGCCGCCGCCGCTCCTGGCAGGGGGAGCGTGTGCACCTGCATTTTTAAAATGTTTCAAACTTTCTCCCCCGGTGGGCCCCGTGGTGACACACATTAGCTTCTCGCTGTCACAGCCTGGTGCTTGGCGCCGGCCCCTCTGCCCAGCCTCCCGGAGGCCACTGTCCTCGAGCGGAGAGCAAGCTGAGGTGGCGACCGCCACGCAGGTGGAGAGGGTCCCCCTTTTCCCCAATCAATGCCTTCCTCCCCCAAATCAGCGGAACGGTGGTGTGGTCATCGCCGGTGCCAAGGGGTGGGTGGCCGGTCGTCAGGGGAGGAGTGAAGGTCAGGGTTCATCCCGGTGAAAGGAGGGGCTGGCTTCCGGAGCCCCATGCAGAGCTGGTCCCCTCCTTGCCCTTTGCCTTGTAGCCTGTTCTTCTCTCCAGATAGAACCCAGGCCCGTGGCGCTCCTGCCGCGGTTAGTCCGCAAATCCGGGAATCGGTCCTGAAAGAGATGAGCCGAGAGGCCCAGGGAGAGCCTGAGACGTGGACAGAGGCGTGGGAGGGCGACCATGCATTCAGAGTGGAGAGCAGCCCGGCTCTCCTTCGTCTCCTCCCTCCCCTCCTGCAGCGATTCTGTTTGCAGGTGTCTGAAGTCAGCCTGCGTGCACGCGCTAGCTCACAGCCCCTCCGTGAATCTGGAATCTCCTGGAAATGTTCCCGATTCCTCCCCATGCTCCCCGCATCCTGAAACGCAGGCAGTTCTGAGTCATCTTGGTGCGTTAAGACTTTCTAGAGTCACGTGGCAGCTCACGCACAGCTCTCCCTGGAACGGGGTCTCCCAGGCGGACAGTGACCGGCTATAGAGCCCCCGTCTCCATGGGCAGCATCTGAGGGACAACGCGACCTGCAGGGCGTTTGTCCATCTGTCCGATGCCGCAGACCGAGCAGGGGAGCTCTGTGATGGAGCCGCCGGGTGTGAAGTCCTTGCTGCTCAGTGTGGTCCAGAGCCATGGAAGGCTGGTCTCCTTGAACCAGCACTGGCTTCCAAACACCGCGCCCACCGTCCCAGCGGCTCCTGGCCAGGCCCGGGGGAGGGGGGCGGCAGGAGCGGCTCAGTGCTGCTCTCACTGCCGGGGCCAGGGGCCTGATGTCGCTGTGGACGAGGCTCCTCTCGGGGCCACTGTCCACCTCGGAGCCTGTCGGTCCTGGGGAGCCATCTTCATAGGACTCCCTCCCCGAACGAGGAGAGGACTCCCGCGCTGTGCCCTCTAGGGTCGTGCGGCCCGTGGCTTCCAAACAGTCCTAACTTCAATCCAGGGAGAGATTTCTCAAAGAATCCCCTGGAACCTTCCAACCGGCCCTTCTGGAGAGTCCTGCCGAAAACACATGTGTGAACTTTGCCCCAAAGCAAAGACTCTTTGCATCGCAATTCAAACTGTGCATTTTCATATACACATGTGCCCACACACACATGCACACACACACACACACACACACACACACACACACACACACACACCAGGTTACCTGAAAACAAACCAGAGATTTATCTCGACAGAGGAACCTGGGTTGTTTGCCCGGGTACTCCGTGAACAACACCGAAGCAGACTGGCTGACACCTGAGGGATGACCCGTCAGCCGGGCTGTGCGTTGGGCTGCGCTTGATAAATACGCCGTGACAGGCCCTGCGTCCACAGTTCTCAGCGGAAGTTACTTGAGTTAATCATCTCATGATGCGGGACGAGGGCGCTGTATTGGGTAAGTGACTGCTAGAATGAACGCTACAATTCCAGCACCTTAGTGTCCTAAAGGTATCTGTTCCTCCATCTGTCTCATATGATTTGGGCGGTAGCATGAGGCTCTGCACCGTGAAGTCACCTGGGGATCCAGGCTCCTCCCATCTTCTGTCAATCACATCTTCACCAGGTAGTCTCCACGGTAACCACTCAGAGCAGAAGAGAGAAAAGAGAAGGTGGAGCATCCAGCCCACTCTTACCTGCCTGCGGAGCTGAGGCCACTGCCTGCTTGCCTCTCATATGATTTGGGCGGTAGCATGAGGCTCTGCACCGTGAAGTCACCTGGGGATCCAGGCTCCTCCCATCTTCTGTCAATCACATCTTCACCAGGTAGTCTCCACGGTAACCACTCAGAGCAGAAGAGAGAAAAGAGAAGGTGGAGCATCCAGCCCACTCTTACCTGCCTGCGGAGCTGAGGCCACTGCCTGCTTGCCCGGCCTTCTGACCGGCTGGGCACCGCCTGCTCTCGGCCTTCTGACCGGCTGGGCACCGCCTGCTCTCGGCCTTCTGACCGGCTG